CCCATTATCTCGCTTTCACTACAAACTCTACAAATTGCAAGGCCCAAGGACAAGTGAAGCCCAAAGTCTCTCGAGCCGCAATTTTAAGAGTGGGTGAGCGAAGCGCAGCAGCTCCCATCAAAAACGAGTCGTGCAGAGCTAGGTAGGTTAACAAGAGATATAATATTAATATATTGCTACGGCACACGCCACCAAAGTAGCAGCACCCCCCCCCCCCCCCCCCAAGTGTTTTAAATAGTGCTGACTTACAAAGAGGGTTCAGCTTCAGTTGAGGACGACGCAGCGAGCTATGGAAAGGAAAATGGCAGGTGTAACCTTTAGAGACAAGAAGAGAGCAGAGTAGATTAGGGAACAAACGGGGGTTAAGGATATGATAGCTGAAATCGAGAAGAGGAAATGGACATGGGCCGGGCATGTAGCGCGTAAACAGGATAACCGCTGGTCATTAAGGGTAACTGACTGGATTCCCAGAGAAGGCAAGCGGGTTAGAGGGAGACAGAAGGTTAGGTGGGCAGATGAGATTAAGAAATTTGTGGGTATAAATTGGCAGCAGCAAGCACAGGACCGGGTTAACTGGCGGAACATGGGAGAGGCCTTTGTCCTGAAGTGGACGTAGTCAGGCTGGTGATGATGATGATGATGTTGAGCCTCTTTGATCGAAATTTGTGGATACAGCCGAGGAAAATATTATGCGAAGCAGATAGAGACTTCGCATGGTGCGTGCCGCGGTAATCCGGTCATCACTTTTTTTTTTCGCTTATGTTTTGACACCTTTTTCACCTTTTATTTTACTTTTTTGTATGCTAATGTACAGCGGAGTCTCTGAAAATGATAGAGACCGTGTTAGAGAATCAATTGACCAATTTTTCAAAATCCTGACCCCCCAAGTTGAACCGATCGGCTATACTTCAAAGTGAACTAATACTGTTTCGCATCCATTTTCTCAGTTTGTTTCAATCCAATACTCGCATTTCCTCGATCGCCATCACGATTTTAACCGCCTCCTTGACACACTGATTGTGCACGCTGTGGTCGTGGACAAGTTTGTACAGTATCTTGGTAAGCTATCTCTGTTTGCAGGTAAGTGCTTGGCTATACGGCACTTACCCGGAACGAAGTTGCATCTGAAGACGAAATATCACTGAGTTTCCAGAAGTAGTTTTTTTATTTTGTTAATCCGCGCCAGCCAAACACGCCGGTATTTTTCAGAAAATCGCAATGTGCATTCTCAATTTTAGGTAATAACTACAAAGCTCTGCTCCCTCTTTGGAGACTACTAAATCAACTTGCCTCACTAGCAGCCCTCAAATTTGCATCGTGAGGCAAAACCAAACGGGCGCAAGCACGAGGAGACAACAAGGCAGTGGTAGGCGACGGAGTCGGTAGGTACCCGGGCATGTCGGTGGCGCATTTCGTAAGTGACAAAGGGGCGCTGCGTGGCGCAGGTGCACACTATGTATTTGGCCATGTATGTGTACACTGGTCACAGAAATAAATGCAATCCTTCTACTTACGAGGACGTTCTTTCAGTTGCTGTCGAGGTGAACTTCTTTCCTCTGTAAATGCAGCAGTGCTTCACACTGATATTTCAGATGCTCGCCCATCTTGCTTGCGATGTTGCCGACTCTTTGCGGCATTGATGGTTTGCGCATCTCTTTTCTGTAGCTGCACAAAGTTAGTCGAGCCATAAGCGGCGTTGGCCTTTTTGAGTTCGGCAATACTGCCGAACCGGTCACCCACGTAGAAGGTTATGTCACCGGTACCCGAACGGCCGTCCCGAAGATTAGAGGAGAAAGCTGCCCCAAGACACGCGTACGGGCGAGCCTGAACAAAATTGTCGTCGGATGACGCCATCACCACAAAGGTTGACTAGGTTCAATGTTGTCGTCAGTAGCTATCGTGAGCCTTCTGTGCCTTTGGACAAAAGCACTTTCCGTGCGAATGACGTTGTGTTCCGTGGCAGCTGTAGTGGGCACAAAAGGCGAGAAAGTGTGCTCCTTGCGGACGGAAGCGCTATTCGCGTTACTGTGGCCAGCCAATAAGAAATATCGTTCTGAAAGATTTTCCTCCGTGTCAGAGCAAGTTTTTGGGAAAATACTGTATTTGCACTATTGCAGCGCGTCGCAGGTATATCGACTCGACTGGCAAATATGGCAGCTCGTGTTTCCAAAGCAAGTTGATGCTACACGAACCGTTAACCTGCCTACTTATAGTGCCGTCAAAGTTCATTTTTAACAAGCAAAAAGTAAGATCAAAAGAAAACACCAATCAATATAACACACATTTGTGAATTGCTGATTCTCTGCAAACTTCATTTCTCAGTCTGGATTCCCAGGTAGCTGCCCATGTCCAAGGGCTTGATGCCATCACCTAGGCTGGTGCGCTTGTAGCCTCCACAAAATACCGCCGGTTCCATTTATTTCATTGTGTCCTTGAACTGACGGGATTTCGTCAGATTATCTTGATATGTAGCGGAAGATAACTGTCTCCGTGCTGAATGCTGGCGCCTGAGCCATTGACAGCGGCCGGCAGCTCACGAATGAAAACTAAGGACTTGTGCCATCGTAGCTAGCAGTGTGGCATGTTTCCAGAGGAAATCATGCCATGGATAAGTAAAACTACCGGCAAATGATTGTCTCGGCACTGAATGCTGACACTTGAGCCTTGACGGTGGCCGTCCGCTCGCGAATGCGAACTGCCGGTCAAACCATAACTGGCTGACAGTTGCCGTCACGGTTTTCATTTCCAGTGGAGATTGCATCTTGAGTAAGTCAAACTACCGGCATTTAATTGTTCCCGCACTAAATGCCGGCACTCTGCACTTGACGGCTGCTCGCCAAAAGTAACTCTGCAAATGTTCGTGCCGGCAAAGCTCTTTTCCCCGTAGGAATGCCGGCATTAGCCACGTGACTAGAGCCGGCCATTGAGGAGACACTGACGGCCGAGTTCCGCTGGCGCTCTTCAGCTGGATGCCAGGCGAATATCCACTTCCTAGTTCTTCCATGTTGACAGTGTTGAAGAAAACGCGACATTACAGTTCTGTTCTAAGTTATTGTGCATTCAAGGTGGTGAAGTCTTTTGGCGTAACAACACGCCATTCAATAAATGGCTTCGTTGTATGCCACGCTGGTTCGGCATTCGATAGCGTTTAGTCAAGGAAACTGGAGAATACTTCGCGGGAGAAGTGTCTGTAGTCAGTTTGCAATGTATGAACTGATCCGCTCACACATGGCGTTTTTCGACGTGCTGAAAATGATTGGTAGAAGCAAGGCCTACTCTACTGCCAAGCTCTTGAACACACTCATAACAGGATTAAGTAATCACACTCGAAAGTGGGCAAAACCTGCTGACTTGGCACTCGGCCGCAGAGCAAGTTTATACAATACCCAATTACAAATTAGTCTACCTTTCATCATTAACAAAGTCTAGTTACAATCCACCACTAACCAATTTGTAGTCCTAACTCAAAATTTCTTGTGAAATTTTAACCCAACGTGAAGAAAAAGGCGTGCTGTTTTCTGTTCAGGGTAAAACCGGCTGCCTGGAATTCAGTCACCAGGTGATAAGGGCGAAAAAAAAAAAAAATTCTTTTATAGGAGCAAAAATATTTTGAGTGCTGTTTTATCTGTTGAATCTATTGTTTCGATTGAAAACTATGTAGTCAAATTATGATGTGTACCTCCTTTACGTAATGCCTCACGGCGATGTAGTTGAAATGTAAATAAATAAATAAATAAATAAACACAACTTATTTTCACAACCTGACACATACTGGCCTGCTAAATACATTTTCCTACACAGAAAAGTTATATAAAAGCGCACACACCGATTTTTACACTCTTACATTCACGTAATATTGGAACATTTGGTGACAAAAAGTTCACTGCACAGGCATACAATATCTTCCTTGTAAGAATCCTCTTTGTAAGAAGCCAAGCTACTTAGAACATATGATTGGAAAAGTTGAAAAGTGAAAGGCATTCTCATCTTCTCGAAAGAGTTTGGGTTCACATGTGTTCAGTCAAATTAGGCATATTTTTTTGTGTCCAAAGACTGCTGTCCCGTATAGATATGCTTCCCGTACTGGACGCAAGTGCACCTAGAAATATAAATTGTGAACAATTTCTTTAGTGCATGTGACGAACACATAATTCTTTGTAAACATAAACCGCAGATCTATATACGGGCCAATCTCTCTGTGTAGCGTAACCTTTCTGGAGAAGCCTATTCCTGAAGCAATTGAGCAGATGAGGAAAATCAGAGATGAAGTGCACTTCTCTTCTACAGGATGCTGTATATTAGAGCTTATATTTTGCGAAGACGTCGACACTCCCACTAGCTTCTGGGGCCCCGTCACAAGTGATGTATTCAAACAATAAGCCTGCCGGTTCAACGAGGATGGTTGCTTCCAATTGAATTTTAAATAGATTGTCCCCTTTCACATTTCGTTTCGTTGCAAAAACGTCTATAATTTGGCTTCATTTCTTTGTGAAAGGCAAAAACGTAATGATCATGCCGTGGCCACATTGCTGGTACTTGTCCTCAGTCCTTGTGAATTCCCCCAGGTCAATGAAGCCTTGAATTTGGCCAGATGCTGTCACGCTGAAATGTTCTGACAGCCTCATCTCATCTACTAATAATCTAACATAATTTTCAGGGTCTGTCATGCCCGCGGTTGTTTTCTTTAGAGTATTTATAAGTGCTGCATTAAAGCCGAATGCCGATCTGTACGACCTCAAGTACATTTTTGAAATTGATTTGCTAGGGATCACGAGTATTTTATTCATCCTGATGTGCTGATAGAGCCGGGGACTTTGTAGTTTCATCAGTAAACATTCAAGAATCCACTCTCAAATCTAGCGCATGCCCTTTTTGTTGGTTTGTTGGGTAGCTTGAAAGTAAGTGTGAACATTTGCCTGCTGCTTTCGAGGCAGTTTCGATATTTTCTCCTCCAGTATTTGATGCGCTACATTCACATTTTCGGTCCTCATTTCCTCAAGATGACCTTCAATGTCAAGGAGCCTTGCTGCGATTCGCTTCTTTTTGCTGGCTCAGGACTCAGTTTGGTGGAGGCTGGGTTTCTTCGTTCCTTTCGTTTCAGGTAAGTTTTTCATGTCAGTATTTTTCCCGTACTTGCATGAAATGCACGAAAAACATGAGAGTACACGAAAAAAAAAAAAAGAAACAAAGGGCTTGTAGTTTCCCTTATGTTAAAAACCCAAGTATTCATGAAATTTGACTTTTGCTAGGCAAAATATTATGCAATGTTACTGGCAGCGTAAGGTGTCGCATAACTTTCTTTTCATCCAGCTTAGTATTGATTACATAATTTTATAATATATAAGGGTTGCTTCAATAAATGTTTGCACTCACTCACCTTGTTTATTAACAGCTCTCTTGCACTTGACACTGGAGACCAAGCCGTGGAAATGGAAAATTTGGTTCTCAAGTTTCTCTGTTAGAACTTTATAAGTGCAGCCGCTCAATGTACCGGCCTCTCTGCAAGGGTGAAGAGACTTTGTACTGTGAAGGACTTGTTTGGCCTCGTCATGGCTATAGATGACCATTTCAGACAAGTGTCTTCCGAACGCTTGTCCGACAAATGACTTTTTTGTGATCGGTCCTGTAGTGCATGAGCACGGTCCTTTCAATACTTACAAGCTCACAGTTGAGGGAGGCCGACACGTAAGCGATTCCGTCATAGTGAGAAAACTTATGAATTGCCCAGTGATCATTTGGCCGGACGACGTCTCCAAGTTCAAATGTGTTCTCGCTGTCTCTTTGCCTCCCCCTTTCGCACTCTCAAATCTCACTTGCAATTCAACTGACACCGGCACAGTGCTTTTCAACTGCTTCCCTTCAGAGCTTGGTGGTTAATTCGCTCTCTTACTTCTTGGCACCTCGCGCCTGGGCTGCTTGTCGGGACACTACGTAAGGGGCGGTATAATTGTGGGTACCGTATCATTCCGAAACTCTGGCTTTTCACGCTCAGTGCACACTTTCTGGTCTTTGATAATGTGTACATAATGCCTCAGTAAGTATTTTTTATCGAAGTGCTGCTCACAAATGGCATTGGTGACTTGCAAGGGCCGATGGGCCGATCAGCTTGGTTGGGATTCTTGTCCCATAACCGCTGCCTTTCTTCATCTTGGGGAACTTCTAAAAAAGAGAGCTTGGACTGGTTTCTTACTCTGCGCTATCCAGTTTTGCAGCTCATGACGCAACAGCAATTTTTACGCTAAGACGTGCTCATACTCTCCTATTAAAAGCAACTTTGAACACTCCGCCAAGCAACCATCAGACACATACGCACGCATGCAAAACTGTCGTCTGCCTGCATTAGCATCAAAATGGTACTTTATATTATTTACTTTTGCCCTCAACAAGGTGTAGAAAAAAGAAAAACACGAATCTCGAAAACAGAGCAACATCAGCACTGCGCTGAAGAGATGACATCTTATCGTGCAGACTGAATCGAGAACTCTGTGCCTCCACCAGCACACCGACGTACCGAACCGCCGCTACCGTCGAAGCAGACGACATCTTCAAGTAGGCGACTGCAGCGCCACCGCAAATTTTTCGTGCATTTTGCTTTACCCCACGCTGCTTGCCGCCTGCTCCAGTGGACCCACTCCCCCATTCTAGTAGACTCTACCGCTGGAGTAAATCCCCAACTCTCCACAAACCTGGAGGTGTTGCTTCTCAACTGTCAATTCTTGAGACACCGAAGTCACTCCACTCACACGTTCACTGCGATTTTCAACTAGCGGGTCAATCTTTAACGCTTCCTGAATAGTGCTGCGCTTCATTTCAGGAGCGGAATCACATGCGGTCAGACTCGGAGCATCAACCGAACGATCAACAAAACAAGTGTTTTTCGAAAGCATATCAGAGTCATTCAAAATAAAATAGGGATAATGCTTAGGCAGGTTTTGTGACCCCGCACCATCATTCATGCGTAGTCCGAACGGTCAATCAATTTCCCCGGAGATACGGGAAAGCGCTCACTGTTTTTTTTCAACTATCCTTTCTTTCCCGCCGAGCGTGCATTGGTTGCGGCTTTCAACCTATTGATCAGATGCTCTCTCTGCTACCTCAATTTCATTGCTGTCTAACAACGAGAGAATACATTTAGGCTTTCCGCAGCAGATTGCAATGCGACCAGGCTCTTGGCAATGGCGGCAGACGACCGGCTTTCTAGCCTTTGGCCCTTTTCGTTTCTCATTACCTTTAGAACAGCTCAATGCAGTTGCGGCTTCGGCAGGACTGGCGTTCAATTTCTTGTTGGAGCATGCTATGCCAATAATCCGGTTACTTGATGTCTGATATATTGCTATGGCCAATTGTCTTTTCTCAAGTATCTTGTCTTCCAATGCCCATCTTTACTTCCTTCCAGCCTTTTTGTTTTGTTTTTCAACTTTCTTCCAACATTCCTTAATTTTGTTGGCATGCGCACCACACTCCTGAATTGCCCCAATCAGCTGAGACTCAGTCTCGTCTCCCTCCACCTTAATTCTCAGCTTTACACAAAGTAGAAAAATGTCTGGTTTTCTAGCTTCTTTACCAACCCCAAAGTTTTCACGAGTGAGAACTTTTGTTTATTTACTGCGACGTTAGGTAGTGAACAAGCAAAGCCTACACACACAGTAATACTACTGCCAGTTTTAGAACATGAAAGCTAGAAACCCAGTTTTAGAAGAACCCTGAAAGCTAAAAAAACCTGGCAGAACTAAAAAAAAAAGTCAAGCACTCACTGTAGTGTTGAGGCCCGAGTTAAGCATGGGTCATCGCGTTACTGGTCACCAATTCATGTGATGGGTGTCTGCCCATAGGACCGGAGCCAGCCAAAGTCTCGTGGAAATGTAGAGGAGAGGAGCCGGGGTTGTTAACAGCAACGTTTATTTACAATATTTACAAACTAATGCTAGCATTGGTACACAATGTCAGTAGCATCATGGAGGCTCTTGATGGAAGCTTGATGGAAGCTTTGTCTGGAGCGTCTGATGCTCGCGTTTTATGCGCTGGTCTTCCCAGGATCCCTGTCGAGAAAAAGAATTGAGGCCAGCACAGTCTAATAAAATTGTCGTCTTCACCTGCGCCCCCAAAATGGGAAGCTTAAATTCTGCCTCCTTCCCAACCCAGGAAAGAGGGAAGATTCATGCCCACTTCGTCCCATGGCAAGGTAGAAAACACACCTCAATACACAATTCACACAACACAAACGCAAACATTTGTCGCCATGGTCAAAGAGCTGTTGAGACTGAGCGGACCCTGGAATGTCCAATCAAACTTTGTGTCGATAGCTGCTAAACAATTGTCTGCGTAAACAGCAATGAGTCCGACAAATGAGCTTATCGGCGACCAGTCCTCCATTGCATTAGATTTTTTGCACGAAGTCAAGGTCAACTGGTACAAATAACACATCTTTGTTTATGAATGGATCTTTTCTGGCCTCAATAGTGGTTTCACTGTCGCAGTATTTACTCAGTAAGCCCAGTTCAACGATTCGGTATGTTTCTGTTTTAGCAGCTCGCGATCCAAAGGTGTTGAGGTGGAAATCCTTGTATCCCAAAACACGTAATTTAAGCATTTCAGAGATATCTTCTCTAATAAATGTCTTTTGACTTTCGCCTTCGAGAACACCTCAGATGTATCCACATTGGTTACCGCCAACGGCCCAAGTACGGAAAGTCTGCAGAGCAACTTCTTTGTTTTCTTCTTTTTAAGCTGTCAAGTGTACGTTAATTAAGTAACTTCTTGCACAGCTTCTTGAGGATGATCATTCTTTTCTTTGTCCTGGGAAGTTGAGGTTGCACACAGACGATGCATGGCGTTTGCTGTGCCGGGTGTACTTTACCTTTCGTTTGCATTCTTCTGACTGGTGCCCCCAAGATGTACAGCGAAAGCAACGGCCGGTCCGTGTAAGCTTGTGCGTCTTTTCTTTTGGACGGAGGGGAACTGTACAGGACTGTGTCTCGTGTCTCGTCGACTCGCAGACGAAACACCTCCTCGCCTGCATCGGCTGCATGTGAAGTATCGTGGCGCTTGGCACGTGGTTCTGTTTGGCTTTGCTCTTCTTTAGGGCATGTCCGCTTTCTGTGCATCTTTCTCGGCTTTCTGTCTTGACGAGAAAAACATCTAGAATGTCTGTCAGCCGGTTGTCTACCCCTGATGCTAATATTGCCTCTGAATCTTGTGGCGATTGACTCGACGATGTGGCACTGCAGACTCGACGTAGTTCGCTGTGGAAATCTGCAACCATTTCTTTGGGCAGCTCCGAGAGAATCTCGTTGTGTAACATTGCTTAATAACACGAGGGGTTTATGCCCAATTCCTTCAGTCCCCAAATGTGCGCTTGTACAGTCGCGGCCACTGTAAGAGGGAACACGGAGCGGGTGACCGCGCTCCGCGGAGCGCCACGACGGGCGCCGTGCGAACTATTGCGGCGCAAGCGCAATAAGCGCCACAGGCGGAGTTAGCTGCGCGTCGTCTGCTACGGTGCCTCCCACTTTGCCTCGATACCTAGATTGTGCGCGCGCTTCGGAATACACAAACCCTGTAGCAATGGCGCGTCAATAGATACTATTATAAAGCAGTTATGAAAGCGCGCAGGCATGCTGTACGTCTAAATATTAACTGCGCCTTTTACCTCTAAAAGTTCCGTTTGATCACAGAGGGTGGGTTTCATAATTGGCATGCTAAGGAAGTAAAAAAAATCACACGACAAACAAGAGATACTGATAAATTTGTGCTTAAGATTTATTAATATACGATGAAGCCAAGACCACGGCTGCAAATGAAGCCTAGATGATGGTCTTCTTCCTTTCGGAGACAATCGAGGTAGCAGGGTGCAATGTCCGAACTAATACGAAGGCGAATTTTAATACCTGGTTGCATCTCCCCGGAGGCAATCGCGGCAGGCATCCTACGTGGCAGGGAACTGTATAACGAATCCACAAGGGTGGCATCCAGCTTAAGGCGTTTCCATTCAGCGTGGACTGCTCTCCAAAGGCTGTCCCTTGACATTCCATGGAGGGGCTTGGATGCGAGTGCCGCTTTCATTTGGCCCCAAATATTTTCAATAATATTGAAGTCTGGTGACTGGGGCGGCCACTCTAAAACGGCGATGTTGAGCTGGCGTAGTAGGGCTTCAACTTGCTTCGAAGTGTGCACAGGCGAACGGTCGTGT